TTTATAGATGTTTACTATTTTTATGTTAACTGATATTTATTTAAGTTATGTTATGATTTTTCAAGGGCGTTTTGAAAATGTAAACATTAGGATGCAGGACCCCGTTCCACAAAGCGATAGTAGCGCTACGATAGTCGTTAGTCTATTTTAAACAACGGGAGTTACGAATACACTAGCACAACGATCGCTCTGTGGAACGGACCCCTGTAAATGCCCTTTGGTCAACCAATCGAGGTGAAGGGTGTTTTTACTTAGACTAAAGTTAGAAGGAGCTCACGGGGCTCCTTCGTCTGAATATTCACTGACCCAGTGTTCGACCATGCAGCTCCTGGTGTTTTGTACTCGACACAGGTATTGTGTACACATTTATCAAAAACTCGTGTCAGTCATGGAGATCTTTGATATGCCTTCAGAGTTTTAAACAGATGGGTAGTAAGAGGGGATTTGCCTTTTCTCTCTCACCCACTCTCTCTCTCTCTCTCTCTATCTCTCACCCACTCTCTCTCTCTCTCACCCACTCCCCCTATCTCTCACCCACTCTCTCTATCTCTCACCCAGTCTCTATCTCTCACCCACCAACTCACACTGTCTCTCTCTGTCTCTCACTCACTCTCTCTCTCTCTCTCTCTCTCTCTGTCTCCCACTTTTGCGTTCTCATTACCTCACATTCCCTCTCTCTTTCTATTTATTTACCTCCCAACTCACATTTTGGCCATGCATGACTTCTCCCCCTCCCCCTGCGTGTACCCACCAAGGTGAACTATGCGTGACTCCAGCTGACACACATTCACCTGTAATCAAGGGTCGAGACGCTACAGGTGAGAGTCAACATCAAGCTTACGTTCATACCTGCTTGTAAAGTAAAGTGACACGATCCCCACTTGTTTGACCAGCTACAGCCATCACTACACTGAGCATTGCGCATACACGACCGCCGTCCCACCACATGTGGGATGGTTGAATTTCACCAAGGCCCCAATGTCGTGTCCACTCGTGTTATTCCGCGACAAACCGAATTACAGGTTACGGAAAGGGACGACTGGTGACGATTGATGGCATGAGAACTGAAGTAATAACAACTGCATCGTATATATATGTTTGTTACTTGTTGAATGACGCACTCAGCAGTAGTTCATGTATATGATGACAGTCTGTATATAATCGAGTCTGGACCAGACAATTCAGTGATTGACATCATGAGCATCGATCCACGCTATTGGGATGCGATGCCCTGCAGGCGCCGAGCCCGACCACCCGAGCCCAAACGTGTGCCCTACTGTACTCTTTAAAAACCTGAGGATTAGACAATAAAATAATTCATGTATGATTCAGGGCTTCTTTTCACTTTTCAAATAACGAAATATCCCGTTTACATAATCAAAGATGGATATACTTAAAGATGTTTCAAAGACCACCATGTGGAGACGCGCGTCACCAATCGTGACGTCACAGTTGTGCGTGTACACAGATTTCTCGAGATTTCTCGAGCGTAGCTAATGCTCGCGGTGATGAAAGCCTTTTGCGCCTAAATCTGTATGATGTTTGGAGACATTTATTCCCGCTACCTACTCTGATGTAAGGCGTCAGTTTCATCTGAAGACACGTGATACTAAAACTGCGTTACACTAAGTTCCAACTAAATTTGACACACGCCACTAAACCAAGACTTGAAAATTTGACACACGCCATTAAAGATAACTAAACCAAGGCTTGTGGAGAGGTGAAATGGGGTTAAACGTCGCGTCCAAGATTATTGCAATTGAAATTTGACACAAGCCACTAAACCAAGGCTTGAAAGTTGACACAAGCTACTAAACCAAGGCTTGAAAGTTGACACAAGCCACTAAACCAAGGCTTGAAATTTGACACACGCCACTGTACCAAGGCTTGAGAGTTGACACAAGCCACTAATCCAAGGCTTGATATTTGACACAAGCCACTAAACCGAGGCTTGAAAGTTGACATAAGCCACTAAACCAAGGCTTGATATTTGACAGACACCACTAAACCTAGAATTGAAATTGGACAGAAGTAGACCTTAATTTTCAATTAGACTGGGATCGTGTATCGTAGTCGTTCTTTAACGATGGACTACACTCTACTTGTGGCATACAGCCGCTGTCCCTGCGAGGTCTAGATGCTGTAATAAGGGACAGATTTGCATTGTCCCTGTGTTATTAGGTGACTCATTTACTGTTGAACTGATATACATCACGACATAGCGGACACACAAATCGGTGGTTGAACGACCTGGAACAACTTTGCCCCAGCCTAGTTCTCCTTTCAGTACTGAAGCCACTAATCCTGGCATCTGCAGATCGAGTTGCAACATATCTATTTGAATGTAAATTGTAACAAAACACGAGTCGATCAGCCACACGCTGTCCTGTACTGTACACTCGAGCCGTCTTCATCAGTGTTCACTCGGGGAAGCTTCCTTGTCGATTGCATTGTTATATCAGAGTAGTCACGGAAGACTACTTATGCTGTCATTTAATATATCAAAGGTCATGACCTTCTTAATGCAACAAGACCGCCTCCGCGATCTAGTGGTAGAGCGTCTGCTCGTAGAGCGGAAGGTCCGGGGTTCGATCCCCGGCCACGTTATACCAAAAGACGCTAAAAGATGGTACAAGCAGACACACACACGTGCATGCACGTCGCTATATAAGTGCTATAATCTTGGACGCGAAGTTAAACCCCATTTCACCTCACCTCACCTTAATGCAACAAAATAACTAGTACCAGTATGCTGATATTTAATGATAATATTAGCCTTAGGCCACTATATATTCAAAACCAATATTAATATCTAATCTCACTAGTAATGATATACTACATGTTCAGTACAAGTAACAATACAAATTCAAAAATATTTTCAATTTTCATTTGTTTAAAAATATTCCAAACCAATATAAACTGACGTCCAAAAGAAACTTTACCAGAGTTTGAAATCACTCTTGCTTAAAAAACAACAAAACATACATGCATGAAGTAAAGTGTATTGAGAAGATCAATATATCAACATAATCAACACTGAAAATGACAATCATACCGCGACCGAGAATGACGTCAGAGCCCCCCAAAGTTGGGTGTGGTACAAAACTCGAGCTTTCAGAATCATGGACAATAGGCAGAGCACATAAACAATCGCTCACGTTCAATAACAAGTCATTAGTAGCGTGTGTGACCACCAAATGCCTCAATACACGCAAACAGTCTTCGACGCACAGAAAAAGTCAGTCGTCTGATGAGGTCACGTGGGATTTGACGCCAATTTTCTTGGAGGGCCAAGATCAGTTCTTGCCGGTTGGCTGGAAAGTGTGGTCGTTGTCGAACACGACGATCCATCAAGTCCCAGAGGTGTTCTATGGGGGACATGTCGGGTGAGCGTGCAGGCCACGGCAGGACGTTGATGTTGTTGGCTGTGAGGAAGTTAGAGACAATTCTGGATGTATGGGTTCTAGAGTCGTCATGCTGATAAATGACACCACGTGGCTGCTGTTGGAGAAATGGTAGGACAACTGGACGAAAAATGTTATCCATGTAACGCTGAGCTGTCAAGTTTCCGTCAACGATGACCAGCAGATCCCACAGATCCCTCCCCACACCATGACACTCCCTCCACCATATGGTACGACCTCCTGCACGCAACACGCCGCCGTTCGTTCACCCCTTCGGAGGTAAACACGTTGTCTTCCATCAGCCTTAAACATACAGAATCGACTTTCGTCAGTGAAGACAACCCTCTGCCAGTCACGTCGTTGCCAACGTCGTACAGTCCGGGCCCATCTCAATCGCAGACGACGATGTTGCGCTGTCAATAGCTGTCCTCTGTATGGTCTAAAAGCCCTGATTCCATGAGCCCTGAGTCTCCTGGCCACTGTCTGTCGACTAACCCTCTGACCTAAGGCATTTGTCGCCGATGACGTCACTGTCAGGAAGCGATTTCGGAGGTGCAAGGTACGCAAGTACCGGTCATCATGAGGCGTGGTCACCCTGGGTGTGCCTGTTCTTGGCCTGACTTGCCGTTGCAATCGTTTTATACCCTTACCCGCACGTGCATTTGCAGTTGTCCGTGGTGCACGTGTTTTTGAAATTCCAAACAGATTCCGAAACGTGAGGTTCAGTGTATATGATTCATCCTCATTCATTAGATCCATGTGATCCACGTCGGTACCACCCCTATACGACGTCAAGTAGTTTAAACTGAATCAGGTCCGCTCGGAATGATACATCATGAAATCACAGTAAACCTAGCCTTGCTCCAAGGCTGTACTGAAAGAAAAGTCCATGGATGTGTAGTAATTCTATCCTCCTAATAGACAAGTCTAAGGACCCCAGTCTCTTACGGTAACAACTTGTTCTAATTATTTACATAATCTAGAAATTATGATTTAAACTCATAATTATTGCCTTAGAGACTTGTGCAAATCTACAGTAAACCGTCTTACGCCAGATCCCACCACATATAGTTCGAGTAACGTGACTGTCGTTTTTGAAGACACGTTAGGCTGTACTTACAAAAATTAGGTATCACTTTTATTTGAAGACAAAAGCATACGCATGCAATTTGAACAATGAAAGCTACATGCACAAAACTAGTCCCAATATGAATTCCAACCAGTGATGACCGAGCTCATACTGAACAGAGACGAGCCCAATGGTTTTGGCTGAATTCATTATATTGGCTGTGCATTATATATTAGATCTATTTCCATCACAGTTACGATTGCCGTATTCAACATATGATTCGGAGCTCTCTGACACAAACAGATGGTCTACATCCTGACCATAATGCATATATTAACGGTTCAATTTGAGTATCTGTGAAACGTGTGACCTGTTGCGAGGCAACAGATGCAGCAACCAATATAACATTTGTAAAACAATAATACAAAATTTAGGAATAGAAATGTGTTTGCAGAAATTATATTAACCCCATCACCGTTTTTTTTTAATGCCCCAAGACTCGTAATATTACCATGTCTCTAGTATCTCTAGTGCTGGTGGTGGTGGTAGTTGTGGTGATGGCGAGTGCTGCTGCTTGTGGTGATGATGGTGCTGCTGGCGGTGATGGTGGTGCTGGCGAGTGCTGCTGGTGGTGATGATGGTGCTGCTGGCGGTGGTGGTGGTGCTGGCAAGTCCTGCTGCTTGTGGTGATGATGGTGCTGCTGGCGGTGGTGCTGGCGAGTGCTGCTGGTGGTGATGATGGTGCTGCTGGCGGTGGTGCTGGCAAGTCCTGCTGCTTGTGGTGATGATGGTGCTGCTGGCGGTGGTGGTGGTGCTGGCAAGTCCTGCTGCTTGTGGTGATGATGCTGCTGGCGGTGGTGCTGGCGAGTGCTGCTGGTGGTGATGATGGTGCTGCTGGCGGTGGTGCTGGCGAGTGCTGCTGCTGGTGGTGATGATGGTGCTGCTGGCGGTGGTGCTTGCGAGTGCTGCTGGTAGTGTTGATGATGGTGCTGCTGGCGGTGGTGGCGGTGATGGTGGTGCTGGCAAGTGCTGCTGCTGGTGGTGATGATGGTGCTGCTGGCGGTGGTGCTGGCGAGTGCTGCTGGTAGTGTTGATGATGGTGCTGCTGGGGGTGGTGGTGGTGGTGGTGGTGGTGCTGGCAAGTGCTGCTGCTGGTGGTGATGATGGTGCTGCTGGCGGTGGTGGTGGTGGTGGTGGTAGTGCTGGCAAGTCCTGCTGCTGGTGGTGATGATGGTGCTGCTGGCGGTGGTGGTGGTGCTGGCAAGTGCTGCTGCTGGTGGTGATGATGGTGCTGCTGGCGGTAGTGCTGGCAAGTCCTGCTGCTGGTGGTGATGGTGCTGCTGGCGGTGGTGCTGGCGAGTGCTGCTGGTAGTGTTGATGATGGTGCTGCTGGCGGTGGTGGTGGTGGTGGTGGTGGTGGTGGTGCTGGCAAGTGCTGCTGCTGGTGGTGATGATGGTGCTGCTGGCGGTGGTGGTAGTGCTGGCAAGTCCTGCTGCTGGTGGTGATGATGGTGCTGCTGGCGGTGGTGGTGGTGCTGGCAAGTGCTGCTGCTGGTGGTGATGATGGTGCTGCTGGCGGTGGTGGTCGTGCTGGCAAGTCCTGCTGCTGGTGGTGATGATGGTGCTGCTGGCGGTGGTGCTGGCGAGTGCTGCTGGTAGTGTTGATGATGGTGCTGCTGGCGGTGGTGGTGGTGGTGGTGGTGGTGCTGGCAAGTGCTGCTGCTGGTGGTGATGATGGTGCTGCTGGCGGTGGTGGTAGTGCTGGCAAGTCCTGCTGCTGGTGGTGATGATGGTGCTGCTGGCGGTGGTGGTGGTGCTGGCAAGTGCTGCTGCTGGTGGTGATGATGGTGCTGCTGGCGGTGGTGGTGGTGCTGGCAAGTGCTGCTGCTGGTGGTGATGATGGTGCTGCTGGCGGTGGTGGTAGTGCTGTCAAGTCCTGCTGCTGGTGGTGATGATGGTGCTGCTGGCGGTGGTGGTGGCGAGTGCTGCTGGTGGTGTTGATGATGGTGCTGCTGGCGGCGGTGGTGGTGGTGGTGGTGGTGCTGGCAAGTGCTGCTGCTGGTGGTGATGATGGTGCTGCTGACGGTGGTGTTGGTGGTGGCGAGTGCTGCTGGTGGTGATGATGGTGCTGCTGGCGGTGGTGGCGGTGGTGGTGGCGAGTGCTGCTGGCGGTGGTGGTGGTGCTGGCAAGTACTGCTGCTGGTGGTGATTATGGTGCTGCTGGCGGTGGTGGTGGTGGTGGCGAGTGCTGCTGGTGGTGATGATGGTGCTGTTGATGGTGGTTGTGGTGTTGGTTTTGGTGGTGGTGGTGCTTGTGGTGGCGATTGCTGCTGGTGGTCGTGGTGGTGGCGAGTGCTGCTTCTGGTTGTGATGATGGTGCTGGTGGTGGTGGTTGTGGTGGTGGTGGTGCTTGTGGTGGCGAGTGCTGCTGGTGGTGGTGGTGGCGAGTGCTGCTGCTGGTGGTGATGATGGTGCTGGTGGTGATGATGGTGCTGGTGGTGGTGGTTGTGGTGGTGGTTTTGGTGGTGGTGGTGGTGCTTGTGGTGGCGAGTGCTGGGGGATGAGAAAACTGACCTTCGAGCGAACCCTAAAGCTTCATTTATTTCATAGAGCGTCCGCCCGGAGAGCGGAAGGTCCGCGGTTCGATCCCCAGCCGCGTCATACCAAAAGACGTTAAAAGATGGTACTTGTTGTTACCCTGTCTGGCGCTCAGCATTAAGGGGCTAAAACAAGGACTTGTCGGCTCGGAGTCAGTATACTGTGTCTGAGTGGGGTATTCATGTTAAACTGCGGCATGGTATCTCAGTGTGCTAGCACTATAAATCGGCATCAGTCCGGACTAGTACACGCAGCCACACACACACACATACACGTGCATGCACGTCGCTATATAAGTGCAATTATCTTGGACGCGACGTTAAACCCCATTTCACCTCACCTCATCTATTTCATCACATGGCCCCTGCGAATATAGGGTAATTATTGCGTTTGGTATAAAGCATTTCGCTATTTAAGACAGTGATCTTGACCTTCGACCTGTAAATGACATCTGTCAAAAGAATTCCATGGCAGGACACCCTGCCATGGCCATAGTATTTGCCTTGCTAGACCTGTAGTATCCAGGTGAAGTAGTCAGGCCAGAAGTATCCACGAGACAAGCATCTCCGATATTCTAACGCTAAGTCTCTAAAACCATAATTTTGATAGAAACAAACAACTGGGCCTTTTTTAAAGCTTTTTTTAAAAAGAAATGTCTCTAAAATAATTTTGCCTTTAGTTTTAGTATTGCTCGCTGAACATGTTGGATGTCCTGAAAACTATATTGTGAAAAAACTTTTCGGTTCCACCATTCAAAGACAAAAATAATGCTTTGCAGAATCAATGGCCGAAAAAATATTCTGCCTCCAACAGAAATGTCTTCAAGCTAGTTCTGCTAACATTTAAATATCTATTCATTATGTTGTATACACGTGTGTCTTTGCCCGGACTTTAATTCCCCTGTCTATCAACTCAGGATATTGCACATTGTTGAGAAGTAATCAGTGTCGATGTCTTGCGCCAGGGCAAGTGAGCTACATCACTTGTCTTGGCGTCTTTCATTGTTACCCTAACAAGGTTGTTATCTTTTAGTACCCCTTTGAACAACCAACAAACCGAACACCCCCACCCCCCGCCTGCCTCGTATCATTACCAAGCTGCTGACAGTTGCGTCTTTGTGTATGCGGGACAGTACCTGTTGTCAGTCGTTACAGCTTATATCACAGGGAAGTCAATATTGACCTACATTAGTCCGTGACTACTAACGATCGACTTTACTTGTTAACTGGATGCTGGCGAGGCTACCAACTGACACCAATAATACTAGCATTTTCAAAAGGGAGGGGTCCAAAATAACAAAATCCTCTCTCAGATAAGTTTACTGCCTACAACATACTACATTTGTTTTGCAAAGGTAGGGGGGGGGGGGGGGGGGGGGGGGGGTGCCTCTGGATCCACCTATGATGTACAACTCAAATATTGATGTGGATATCTCTCTAGCATATTTCCACGATACACACACTGATTACTTATAATGTATAATATGATAATATTTCAACTCGCATCATGGCCTCATCTTGACCATCACTGATGATGATGATTCTACTGTCTCAGCTCAACCCCTGCTGCTTGTATTGCCACTACTTCTGCCATAACTGCATCTACTCCTCCTGCCACTGCTGCTACTTCTGCGACTACATGTTTATCAGATACTACTGTCTGCTACTACCTATCACACTGATGCTACTAATTTGGCTACCAAGATTGATAATGCTACTGCTACTAACTCTGCGTGTGTGTGTGCGTGCGTTGCATGCGTGCGTTTTCATTAACACCTACATGTTTTGCTGTAGGGGCAGTTGGGTAGCCTAGTGGTTAAATCGTCGAAGTTCCGGGTTCATTCCCAACATGGACACGGTGGGTAACGTCAATTTCTGACGGCCGGAGAGCGGAAGGTCCGGGGTTCGATCCCCGACCGCGTCATACCAAAAGACGTTAAAAGATGGTACTTGTTGTTACCCTGTCTGGCGCTCGGCATTAAGGGGCTAAAACAAGGACTGGTTGGCTCGGAGTCAGTATACTGTGTCTGAGTGGGGTATTCATGTTAAACTGTGGCATGGTACCTCAGTGAGCTAGCACTATAAATCGGCATCAGTCCGGACTAGTACAAGCAGTCACACACACACACACACACACACAAACACACACACACACGTGCATGCAAGTCCGTGATGCACGTCGCTATATAAGTGCAATTATCTTGGACGCGACGTTAAACCCCATTTCACCTCACCTCACCTCAATTTCTGACGCCGTGGTATTGCTGGAATGTCGCTACAAGCGGCGTAGAGAGAAGCGCAACAAGGTGACAACCCAGACCACGCCCTCCGCTACGTCAACTACTACCACACTTCCACCTCTCCATGACGATAACACACATAATCATTATAACTGTCGGCTCCAACACCATGTGCACTACAAGTTCTATCTGCCCTGATGCTAATTGCCTGTTAAATGTAGACTTTCTGCCAGTCTCCGCGGCTAGCGAGAACACTTGTATGCTGTTGCGCAGGTAATCATGCTGGTGTCATGTTTATTTTATCAATCCCTTCCCAGTCTGATACAGTTCATCACCTGGCATGTATCACAGAGAAATAATTGCTTTAATAATAAATGAGACCTGTTCTGCCTCTGAGGAGAAATGCATTTCAATATCTTGATTACAGAAAACGGGAAAACATATCCTCAAAGACAGAAGCATATGTGGTCATCATTTTGTGATTGATTCAGAAGCACATTATTTTTTATTGAAAATGTATTGTAGTTTAACAGAGCTGAAAATAAATCAAAAGCTGTCTACAGATTTATTTTTTAAATTATAAACAATTTCAAATTTTAAAATTCTAATTCAGTGTTCTGTTTTGATGGTGAACTAGATACTTTATATCCAAGCTTGGTATGTACAGCAGTTTTAAAGAGTGAGTGAGTGAGTATGGTTTTACGCCGCTTTTAGCAATATTCCAGCAATATCACGGCGGGGGACACCAGAAATGGGCTTCACACATTGTACCCATGTCGGGAATCGAAGCCGGGTCTTCGGCGTGACGAGCGAACGCTTTAACCACCTGGCTACCCGACCGCCCCTTTTGTTTTAAAAGAAAGAAGAAGTTAAGGTGCGACTTTCATTTTCACCCCATTTGGCATTACAATGGCACCAAACTAGAGGTTTTGTTTGATTGTATGTTAAACGCCACACTAAGCAATATTATTCCAGCTTTATGACGGCGGTCTGTAAATAATCGAGTGTCGATCAAACAATCCAGTGGTAGAGACCATGAGCATCGATCTAGGCAATTGGGATACGATGGCATGAATCAATCAAGTCAGCGAGCCTGACCTCCCGATTCTGTTAGTCGCCTCTCACGACAAGCATGGGTCTTCCAAACTAGTGTCGTATCTATTGCGTTTATTGATGCTCATAATATCAATCACTGGGTTGTCCAATCTCATTAAAATTTAGCTCCCAGTTTTCGCTATCGCTAAACAAACATCTGAGGACATCCCATTACGGGACACGTCAGAACGACCTTTCATCCGACCAGATCATGAAAGGGACAGTCGGAATGTGTTTTCTTATAAATGCAACCTCGAAAACGTTAACACGGGGTATTCCGAACGACAGTTACGGCCCGTACGACTGATTCCGTCACAATTATCTTCTATCTCTCGCTTCCATGGGATAAACATTTGAAAGGAAGAGGCGTTGCACGGTACGTGGGTGGCACTGCCATACAATCTCAACCATACATTAGACATTTCGGAATGTTCGTTTGTTCAGTTTTCAAAATTTTAATCGAGAACTGTGTCAACATATTTTTCAAGGTAGTCTCCAATGGAAGCCGCCAGGTTGAAACAAGTGCCGCAAATCTCGAGAAAGCTGCTTTCTAATTGGCTGATGTCGACTTCTTGTTAGTCATTTCAGTGGTCGGTCAAAGTTCGCGAAAGGGACGTCCTCAGATCTTTGTTTAGCGGCAGCGAACACTTTGATCTGATTTTAATGAGATTGTGGATTGTCTGGTCCAGACTCGATTATTTACAGACCGCCGTCATAAAGTCAACTTGTAATATTGCTGAGTGCGGCGTAAACAACAAACAAACAAAACCATACTAGCGTTGGACAATCTGGACAGACTGATAAATCTGTAAAGCCCATAGTCTGTACCAATAATATAATTTCATCAGATACGTTTACCTTTAACTGTAATTTCACAGAGCAGCACATCGTGGGATCAGCTCCAGAGACAGACGAGGGGCCCCCAGGTCATTACGATTTAAACAAGTAGCGGTCTCCGACGTCCGTGTCTTCCATACTTTGCCCCCGACCCCCTCCCTCCGAGACTGTAATTACATCCTTGTGTGAAATTGAGGTGTATCTTATTAATGAATCGATCCAGGTGTTTCCGGATGAATTAGATTATCAGTTTTGAGTCATGAGTGAGTGGAAGTGAGCGGATAGAGTTTTAACCTGCTTTTAGCTGTATTTAAGTCGTATCGTTGCAGGGGTTGGGGCGAGTAGGAGCACCAGAAATGGATTCACACACACTACCACCGTGAGGAATCGAACCGGGTCGTCGGCGTGAAGAAACAACGCTTTTACCACGTGGCTACCCCACCACCCCCTAGTGCGTGGGAACTTATTTTAACGTTGTTTGTATTGTCAAGGAAACTAGACAGTTTTAGCTAGTGAGATCATCGACGTGAAACGTTGTTGTAGATATATGTCCAGAGATGAGGGAGAAGACAGGCCATTAGCAGATGGTGTTGGTGTTGACTCACGGTATGGGAATGAGCGGAACTATAAATGGGTGGTGCCCACATCAATTGAATCAATTTTTGCCCCATGGGAACCCGGCTTAGAATTGGTCTAAAGTAACATGTGCTTGTCCTAAGAGGTGTACAACGGATCGATTGGTCAATCTCTTTGACTTGGTTCATGGCGTGTCATCATACCCAGATGGCGTTGGACGTTGTTCTCAATATCAATCACCGGTTTGTCTGTGATCGCCTTGATTATTTATTTCTGAAATATTGCTGATTATGGCGTTAAACAACCAAATCAGTTTACCAATTACCTCACAATGAAACAACATTATTGCAATATTCGTTTGACATATGAGGCAAAAGCGGCCGTTTGCATAAGTTATGTAACTCATCTTACGTTTACGATAGTTTTTTTTTAGTTATTTACGTAAAAAATATTCATCCTAGATCGTGTTAACGTGGAAGCCTGTTTACTGTTGGGCAGAAGTTGCCTTATTTCCAGCACTGACAGCCGAGTCTTCTTTGCAATTACGGAAAGTGGCGGAAAAGGGGCGAGATTGGCCGAACGATTGCAGGTTACGGAA